TTTTGCTGTTGAAGAAATTGAAGTACTTTTCCTAACACCATTTTCATGTTTAGTAACCAAATGCGAGTTTTTAGTCGACCTAGAATTTCATTGGCTAGGCTAAGCTTTAACCTTAAAGCTTCGCATGCATAACTTCCGTTAGCAATACAGTTTCCAAGAAACACCACTTCTGATATAGAGAACATAAATCAATAACCTAAAGTCCAAAATACAATTTAAAATTATAAGTGAACTATAAAAATTGTTCATATTCTTCTATTTGTATAATTTGTACAATTTTAACCGAATAAGTATTGGAATATCTTACACTATAATAAATATATTAATCTCAAACTAGTATAGAATTTGAAAAGTTTAATTATTTTATAAGTAGAACGTTCTTCATTTTATAAATCTCGATAAATAACCTAATAAATGTAAGCAGTTGTCTGTAAATTTTTTATGTAGTTTCAGATATGTATTACTTTTCAATGAGATTTCTTAAAGTTCAAAGGATAAAACAGTTTGATCATTATATACCAAATTATGAGAAACTTCTGATATGAACAATAATATATTGCTGCTTCCTATTTGCCTTATATATATATATATAATAATAACAAATAAGGATATCAAACTATAAATACCTACAATTTATAAAGCTTAATATCTTCCTTCCTTATAAAGTTTCTGCGCACCCTTTTCAACAGTAATAAATCTATGAAACTGTGCAAATATATTTCGTAATATATTTCGTCAGTATTTATAAAAGATAACAAAAATAACATAAAAACAATATGAGGCACATATTTTTATTAAGTTTTGCTTAAATATTTTCGCCAAATAACAAATTGGACAAACTACGACATTCGAGAATATGTTTGAAGTATTTTGTTTTTCTATGCTTTGGACGACGTGAAAGCGTTGAAATCGATTCTTGTGAGCAAACCGTGACAAAAACCCAATCAAAACTCAAGATATCCAGACGTATGAGTTTATGTTAAACATTCTAACGACGTCATCGAATTTGTCTTTGTCGTTGTACTGTTGCTTTTTACCCTCCATCAAAAGATATATTGGCATTTTAGAGCAGTTTTGAGGGTTTCATATACATTTTTGTACGAGAAAACACACAAAACACGAAACACAAAACAATGTGTAACAAAACTCACCATCCAAATTAGGTGTGTAATGTGCTGAGAATGCTATAAATTCTATTATTAAATCATTTATTGTTATTTCTTTTACGACGAAAATATTTACAAAATGTTTACACATGACCGATATTTTGGAAAGCTCTAAACAACATTCGTCATAATGATAATGCAATAAAGCCAAATAGTGAATATTGCGCCTAAACAATTGTCCCATTATTTCTGCGCAAATCTATTAGCGCAAATAATGGGTTTTTAAGTTAAAAATATCGAATTACACATAATTCAAAAAAATTGTAGTTCTCTATAACTTTAAAAATACGTTCTACCACTGCATTTGATATATATTAATCCAAAAATTTAAATTTAAATTTATTTAGTAAAAATTGACATTATTGTACATACATTAGAAACATCAAATTTAATAAGATTAATGTAGATTAATTTTCTCTATTCCCATAAATATGAAATAAATCAGGAATGAAGAAATGAAGTAACTTTGACATGTTCGAAATTTTAACAGTCATAACAAAGAGTTATTCACAATAATTAATAAAAAGCCACTAAAACCACCTTTCAGGAATGATTGTGAAAACCGAGCCCAGCGAATGCAATCCCATTACAGTAATCAAGGGCAGAGAGGATTCAACAAGCTAAATTTATAAAAGCCGAAGATCGATGTATTCAGGTAGGGAGGGATCGGCTTATATGTGAAAAGGGTGGGGTTTACGCATACTTGCGAGGGGTTCTAGCTAAGAGTAAACTCTATGCTCAGGATTATAGGAGCCCCGATTGTAGAGCGAAATAAGTTAAGGAACAGCAAGCTCTTCTTCAAGATAGTGGACAGGGAATTATGGGAGCTTGTGTCTCACGGCCTCAAGCAGCATAGTTGGGACGATATACACAGAGTACCTTTGTGCTATTAAGCATTTTTACTCTTTTGTGACTGGGGGGCTTATTCCTGCCCCACAACGAGGCATGAATAACCTGGGACGAGGTTGGGCAACGTATCGACTTTTGTGAATAATTTTAGGGCTCTGTCCTTAATATATTTTTTGATTGAGTCGATCCTTAGATCTCTATGCATGTCTGTTGTTCTAATATACCATTGAATCTTAAATAGTCTTCTTAAAGCCAGGTTTTGCGCTATCTGTAATTGCTTTATGCCAGTATTTGGGACTTTGCTGTATGTTACACATCCATACAGTAGTGCTGGCCTAATTATTTGAGTATATAATAACTTTCTATTTTTGAGATTGATTTGATTATTATTAAACAACGGCTTTAGGAGATGTAGAATTTTAGAGCAATTATTTGCATTTCATATGTTTATACCAATTAAACCGTTTGTAAAATGTGACTCCCATATATTTTATGCTTTCCTTCCACCGTATCTCCGTGCCACCGGTACTCACTGCTGGAGGATGCTGCCTTTTCTTTCGTGTCATGAATATAGCCTTGGCTTTGTCATTGTTTATTTTAATCTTCCATTTCTGGAGGTATTCCACCATAAGGTCTATAGTTCTCTGTAAGGTGTTGCTTACATTTATGACATCTCGGTCAGAGTAGATCAAGTACGTGTCGTCTGTGTAAAGCGCTATTAAGCTGATTGCGGCTTTTATGTATGATGATGTTCTGGATGACATATCTTATATGGGAGACGAAGTTGTGCTTAGAAGTAATACAATTTTAAGATATTTTTGCTTGTCAATAAGCTGAATCATCAATACGAAGCTCTAGCTCGGAGAGCGTAAAGGTCCTACCGCATTCGATAAAGCCGATAAGGGCTATCGCAGAAATTTTTGTGCAGTTGAGCTTAATGTTCCGCATATTAACAAAACATTGGAACATTGGTTTATATAGCCATATTATTGTTACAATTTTGTAATAATAATATAATAATTATTACATATAATAATTAAGAATACAAAAAAAATAACAATAATTAATAAAATTAATTTTTAATTTTGTAATTATAATAATAACAATTTTGCTTACAATTTTGATTGGCATTATTTTTACAATAATTCCCAAAAAAATTTTAATTACTTAATAAATAAATGCTATGAAAAAGTGTTAATAAGAAAATCATTTTATTGTTTTCTTGTATTTTCTTTAAAGCTGAAATACTTAGATCTTAAATTTTTAAAAATAAATTGCCATTCAATATAAAAATTTCTTATTAAAAATGATTTATGTAAATGATCACTCTTTACATAAAGGTCTTATAAATATAAGATCAGTGTATATTTTATAAAGAGTATAAAATATTAGACTTGGACTAGGTATTCAAATACATTTTCAAAATCATTTTTTAGAATTCGCAGAACGTGAATAAAACGTTACGATGGGTTGCTTTCTTTTTTATTCTTCTTCTTCTTTTTGTTTGGCACTACTGTCCAGTGTGAACTATGAACTGCATTTTTTCCGATGCGAGGCTGCTAATATAGCGATCAACCCCAAACCTAGAGAACCAGATCCTCTTGTTTGCAAATCTTGGGATAAGATTGGTGTTTGGTGTTACATTATGCGATCTATACCAAACTTTTTTATTCAAATTTATCATAATTCAGTAATAGGTATTTTATATGTATATTTTAAATTATGAATCAATGGCGATAACTATATAGTCGAATGGTTACTAAGCATTGTTACATTATGCGATATTGTTACATTATGCGATATAGATATATACAGCCAGAATAACGTAACCAGTTGGCTAGGTTTTTACTCTTTATTTATGAAGTGAAGAGAATGTATCTTGATCGGAATATTTGCAACCTGTTAAAGTAGACCTAAAATCATATTATATATCAACTATATCAATATACCTTGTGATCAAAAAAGAACAAATTCGTTCTTTTTTTGAATTCCCGCGCTTATTCAATCGGTAAATTTTTTTATTTTCACGCTGGCAACACTATTACACACATTCTGTCAAAGTTTAACGCATATCGTACGATTAGTTTTTGTTTGGCGTCTATACAAAGAAGTTGAAAAATTTTCGTGTGGTGATTTTTAGCTGAATTTCATTCAAAAAAAGCTTCGTTGTGATGTGGCCAAAGAGATCATTTTCAACGCAGATAGTGACCCCACATTCATCGAACGCATCATAACTGATGATGTGACATGGGTCTATGAATTTGATATGAATGCCCACCAAACAACAATCGACCGAATGGTGCTTCGAAGGTGAGCCGAAACCGAAAAGTCGGTCTAAAATCTGACTGTTTACTTCGATATTGGTGGTGTGGTGCACTATGAATTCCTTCCGGACAGTCAAACGATCAATAAGGAGTATTATTTGGTCGTTATGCGTCGTTTGCGTGAGGCCATATGCAAAAAGAGGCCAGATTTATGGAAGGAAAACTCATGGATTTTACACCACTATAACGCACCGGCTCACACAGCGTTGGTTGTGTCGCAGTTTTTAGCCAAAAACTCCACCAATATCATCAACCAAACACCGTACTCTCCAGATATGGCCCCGTGTAACTTATCCTCTTCCCCCGACTCAAATTTCCATTGCGAGGACCATAGACGCGTTTTGAGACCATAGAGGCCATAAAAGAGAATTCGTTGCATCAACTAAATGCCATACTTTCGGCGGCCTATAAAACTTGTATGGAAAATTGGATCAAGCGTTGGCATGCATGTATTGCCGCAAGAGGAGAGTACTTTGAAGGCGATAATAAAGAAAATTATTAAAAATTAAAATTTTGCGTTTTTTTTTTAACTTCTCGTTCTTTTTTGATCACACGGTATGTCAGTTTGCCATTTAAAAGAAAATCATTATGGCCCCTAATACAATACTTATAATTTAATAGTAATAATATATGTTGTATTTAATTGACAAAAATATGGCATACAAGTTAACTGAAAATAAAATTAAAGCATGCGTTAGGTAATATGTGTCTTGTGCCAACGACGAATCCAACTACAGATCATAAATCTAAAAAGTCAAAAGTCTCAACACTAAGATAAACGGACAAATAACCGCCCTACAAGACTATCCAAAACATGTTAACCCTTTCACGTTCGAATAATATTAAGACCCCTTTCAATTTGGGTTTCGATTTTCATATCCTGTTTGAATGGCAACAAAATAAATAAACATATTTTATATGAATTCCATAATTTCCATTATGAGCATTCCGTTGTCCCGAAGTGTTTTGCCAAATACCAAATACTATGTGTCACACATAGGAAATCTGTTGCGTTGCTCGCAGCAAGCAATCCTGGGTGTGTTTTTTATTTATTCACTATAGGATGCGTCTATTATAATTCCATAATGAATAGTTATGGGTATTAAATGCTTGGGGTTGCTTTACGTTCATCTACTGTAACAAGATTTTTGGAAGGATAACGCACAATGCACGACTGAGTTGCTGCATTGACAATCGATTTCAATTATTTCAATGTATTTTCAATTTGATTTTATGTTTTGTTTGCATTTCTGTTCATTTAAATAAAAAAACTTATTTCTTCTGATTTTATTTTTCATTTTTATTTATACAATATTTCTGTTCAGTTCCATTTAGTTTAGGCAAATAATTTAATAAACGTAAAGATGTTGTACTTGCTAAGGACGCAAATAATAAGGAATAAAATTGGGCTTTGAATATTATTTTTATATTTTATTTTTTTTTTTTGTTGGTATGATGAATAAAACCATAGCAATGTAAAAAGAATAAGTTCAAAGATAAAAAAGGGCTTTCTCTGAAAGTGGCCAATTGTTGCTTTTACTGTTACTTATTACCAATTTTTTCTTTCAGGCTTTCAGTTCACCTTAAAACTAAAGTTTTACTTAAAAACCCTTTGAACTTGCATTAATGTGAAAAGTGAGGTGACCAGAAAATTCAATTAAAAGCCTCTTTTATGTATTGATGATTTAAAATCGAAAGGGTGTATTTTAACGGAATTTTTTAACCAATATGATATTTGCCATTTGCATTCTGCCATTTTCTGAAATTTAAATAAAGTCATTTTCGTGATAATCCAACTAAATGTAATATAAGACAATAGTTATAGATCGCCTACAAAATAAAATTTACTATTAAAAGTATGAGATTAAAAATGGTTGTAGTATTTTGAAGAAATATAAATATATAATAGAGAAGATTTTCTTTAATAAAAATATAATAAAAAATCTACGTTTAAGGTTCTTTTTTAATAATTTTTTTTTACGTGACAGTTTGATAAACCGGTGCCAATTTTTAAATATTTCAGTCCAGATTTTTAATTCTATATGTAAGCTTCTTTTGTGTTGTAGGTGTTTAAAATGCAGAAGTTCTGATAAATTTGCAAAAAACAAAAGTTTTGAAATATTTTTAAAAATATAAACTCTTTTTATTTGAAAAAGAAATCATTCATTTACAAAACAAACTCGTCAAGCAATACAAATATGTTGCCACATCACAAAATTAAAGAATGCTTCTAGACCATTTGGATAAACTAAAGAAAAAACATTGTAATTGCTAATTCATTCATTAACAATTGCTGTAACAAAAATAAATGAAGTATATTCAACTGTATTCAAAAGATTTGACTTCATTTATTTACAAAAATGTTAGAAAAAATATCAGCAGAAATTTAAATCTCTACAACTCTGTCACAACTCTGCGAACAAACAATATATAGAGGACCTCGAAATATCC